TTCTAAGGTGGCCCAAGAGTTGCACCTAGCAACATTAAGACAAATAGAGGAAAACAGGATAACAATCGGTCCTTCACAAGCTTCACCCCCTCCATAAAAAAATGAAGTTTGTAAGATTTTCCACAACATCATCCAACAAAGTTGAATGGACAAATAAGCCTAGATAAAGCAAATTAGTGGGTGAAAAATATGGAGAGAGTTTTGGTGCAAAAATGTGCCTAAAGGATAATAGGTTGACTTATATTGTTCACATGTTCATTAAAGAAGCAAAACATTTGTGGGCTACCATGAGGATGATGTTAGAGGAGAAAGGCGAAGCGGTGAGCTGAGATTTATTTAAGAAGAGCTTCCTTGTTGAATAATTTCGAGGCAACAAAAGACATGTTAAAAAAGTGGATTTCTATAGCTTATGCAAGGAAACAAGTCGATTGGTGAGTATGCTGAGAAGTTTAAGCACCTGAGGCATTTACACATCATAACTATGGATGAAGAACATGACATGAAGTTTGAGAATGGTTTGAGAAGTGATATCAAGTGGATGGTCCCATATCACTTTATGAAGGAATTTCCTGCCTTAGTAGAGAATGGAAAAGTGATGTAAAAGTTAAAGGTTGAAGCGGAAGCTCTAGGCAACAATAGAAAGTAGGAAAACCATATAGGTCTAAGCGAAGGCAAAAATATAGGAAGAAAACATACTTTAGGCATCCGCCTCAAGGGTCTAAGGGGTTTTCTTCTTAGTCATAATCTCAACAAATCAAGATCTAGTTCTATTAATATGGAGAGCCACATTTGGGGAACGTATGCCCATAATTGGCTGGTGCTATGAGGTGACATGGTTGCTAGAAAAAGGTATTTTATTAAAGAATGTCCTTCTATCAAAAGCATAGTGGCAAAACCTTTATCTCAGTTTCAATCTCAACATAAGAAGTATGTGACTAGCCTCAAGATCAAGAAGAGTTTATCCCATGGCAAGAGCAGAGGTAGCGGGTTCAAGCAATCTATAGTTAGATGTTGTGTGATAACTGATATAAGTTATGTGTTTTGTATGACTCTAGAGTGACACACTCCTTTGTATCAGAGTCTTGTATTTAAAAGTTGGTTTTGCATTTAAGGGAGTTGTAAGTCTAGGAACATTTTAACTCTAGGACGCTGATTGTCATGTTTTGTAAATGCTTTGATGTTGAACGACAATAATATACTGTTGAGCGTCATCTTCAAATTACATATATAGAGCATTTTAGTTTTAGCATGCTCAACACAACAAGTGTCGATGAACTTAACTTTTTGTAAAATGTTTAGTGTTGGATGACAGTTTCTCTATTAGCTATGTTTTTTCCTTTATTTGATTTTTGAGGTTCTCTTATGGATATTACTTATGCTTTTGACTTTGATTGTTATTAATTAAAATAATATTGTTATCTAGTTTGGTATGTATTTATGATTATTATTTTTGATAACTACATTAATATTATATATGCTTTATAATCTTTTATTTAGTAATTTTATATTATTAAATATGTTTTTACATTTTACAATATATAATAAAACAGTGGAAGTGATATCTATGAATATATTTGAATTTAAGAAAATTACAAATAAATTCACCTAAAGTTTTTTTTTTCATTTATATTATGATGCAAATATGTATTTATGACAATAAAAAGTAATAAAATTATAACAATATAGATAAATATAAAATATCTTTATAATTTAATTATATATAGTTTTTATTTATTTTATAGCTAATATTTACTTATTTAATTTAAAAAATATTATATTAAAAACGGTTAAACAGAAAAACAGTTAAATTTATAGAAATGTCACTTAAAGAGTAAAGTTGAAAAAGAAAAATGTGTACACCAAAAAAGAAATCATCTTTATATATATATATATATATATATATATATAATAGTGTATATTATGAAATTAAATATAAATAATTTCTATAACTTCATTGTAAATATTTTTTGTTTATTTTATAAGTATTTTTATAATTAAAAAAATGGTGAAATTTTAAAAAACGATCTTAAATTTAAAAAACACCATAAAATTGATAAAATATTTATTTTAATTTAGGAATAAAATATTGTTACCTAAAAGGAAACATCCTTTATATTTGTTGATGATTTCTATTTATTTAAGTTTAAAAAATATTAAATTAAAAAAACAGTTAAATAGAAACAAAATTAAAATTTGAAAAGTCACTTGAAGAGTAAAATTGGAAAAGATAAATCATGTGTATGTAATAATATAGATACTATAATAAATATAATAGTATATATTATGAAATTAAATATAAATAATTTTTATAATTTTACTGTAAATAACTTTTATTTATTTTATAGATAATTTGATAATTAAAAAATAGTTAAATTTAAAAATATGATCAAATTGAAAAAAAAATGTTAAATTTTAAGAAATTCATAAAATTAATGAAATAATTATTTTGATTTAGAATGGACACTTTTTTTTCTTTTATATATATAGAGTGAGAGAAAAATAGATAAAGAAATAAAGAAATAGATAAAGAGATAGATAGATAAAATAGATACATAAAGAAATAGGCAAACATAAAATAGATAAATAAATATATAAATAAACCAATAGATAGATAGACATATAAATAAATAAATAGATAAAGGCTTAATTACCTACTTAGTCCCCATGTTCAGAGGTAATTTGCTGTTTAGTACCCGGTTTTAAAAATGTAGGCATTTGATACCTATGTTTTGAAATTTGTATCAATTGAATCCTACCCACTTAACGCCGTTATAAATCTAACGTTTTTCTGACTGTGTATGTGATTTGTGGACGAGCGGTTATGGACGAGCGTTCGCTTCGTTGGACGAGCGTCCTCTTCTGCCTGACTGGGCGTTCGCTTCGCTGGACGAGCGTCCTCTTCTGCCTGACTGGGCGTTCGCTTCGCTGGACGAGCGTCCACTGAACGTACTTGCGTCCACAGGGCGAGCGTTATCAAACGCTCGTCCACAAACGCTCGTCCACAAATCACATACACAGTCAGAAAAACGTTAGATTTATAACGGCGTTAAGTGGGTAGGATTCAATTGATACAAATTTCAAAACATAGGTATCAAATGCCTACATTTTTAAAACCGGGTACTAAACAGCAAATTACCTCCGAACATGGGGACTAAGTAGGTAATTAAGCCATAGATAAATAAATAGATAATAAACCTTTGATTTTTACAATCAATCAAGTTTTATTAATTAGTATAGCTCAGGTAGGTTTACATATATTTTAGAATTACTTGATGGGCATAAATAATATAAAATATAAAATTTGATGATAATCAATATTAGGGTGTTGCTCTCTCGACCACCAGCGCTTGCTCTCTCCACCACCCCCTTCCTTTTTTACCCCTCACTCCATCTCTCTATTCCTACTTTATCCTTCACTAAAATTTTACTTTTAGGATTAATATTTTATAATTTTTACCCACTCTAATCCTCTACGCACATGCAGCGACATACCTCTTCATCCTCTTTTACGTTATACTTTCGTGCTCTCATTGTTACTTTTTTATTGTGTGAATTCTTTCTCCTTTCTTTGTGGTACGAGAGTGTGGTGAGTGAGAGGTTGCATGTGGTGGTGGAAGAAAGTGTTATACGGTAACAAAGTTCAGTCTCAGTGGTGTTTGAAAGTGCAAAGGGGATGAAGATGCACTGCGTCGACGTACGTAATCAACCCTAAATTAACGTGAAAACCCTTAAACGGATATGAACATCCGTCAACGGATGTCAACATCCGTTTAAGGTGAAACGGATATCGACATCCGTTTAAGGTGAAACGGATGTCGACTTCCGTTTTGGTTCCTCAGTCATTACAATGTTTAAGGTGGGTCACTCCATATTTAATGAACCTCACTCAATATTTTATAGTTTTCAATAAAGTTTTCCTAATATAGGATAAAGTGTTGCTAGCACTCCTCATATATCTCATTTTTTTATTATTATTTGTACTTATAGCATATCAATATGCATATCTTTCCCCACAGGTGATTAAAATGTTCTCTTCCTCATTTTCTCTTTTTGGTTGGTTTGTTTGCTTAAATAGGACTCTAGAACCGAGGAATATGAAGAAACAGAAGAAGAATTTCTTAAAAGGTATGCTAAAGCTCCCGAGGCATTGGAAAATGGTTCAGCTATTGAAGAAAGGACGATGAAGACCAGGAACTGGAGCTGGAAATAGGTAATCTTTTTGTTGTATGCATATGGGAACATGTGCTTAATCTACTTTTTATTAAACATGCATCGCCCATGTAAAAAGGAAACTTCTAAAATGAGTTGGTCATTGTATCATTATAATTAATCTGGAGTTTTTAGGCAGTTGCATCATAGTGGTCAAGAACAATTTTTTCATGAATATCATTGTCAGAAATTAGGTACACAAATCTCATTGGCAAATATCACTATTCCCACTAGTATCACCCTGAACCAACCCGGATATATCCGCTCTGGCTGGGCACCGTATTGTCTTGTTTTTTTCTTTTAACGGGTGATGTTGGACATATGGATGCATACACACATATGTATAATTCAATAATAAACATATTATTATAGATTTAACGAATTTGAGTTGGAGGGGTGGGAACGGATCTTGGAGGGGATGGAAACGGATCTGAGAGAAAGTGAACAAAGGGATGGGGTGTGCAGTGAAAATGAGTGAGTGAATATGAATAGAAATTTAGGATTTTAGAACAGTAAATAAATAAGGTTAAAAAGTAAAAAAGGTTAATTTTGTAATTAAATTTTTTTTATAAAGAGTTGGAGAGGTGAAGGGAGAAAGGTGTGGTGGTGGAGGGAGTAACACATGACAAACTAGTTGGTTTTTGATATAGTAAACAAAACTTATATAGTAAGTGAATTAGAAATTATTTTTCTTAAAAAATATAAATTACACCGTACCCAGCCTGCAAATGGCCCAATGATTTGCGGCCCATTTGGCTATTTTTATCTACACTGCGCCTATAAGTCGCACAATTATGCCATTTTTGACAAGAAATTCTGAAACCCTAACTTGTTCGTTTTTTCCATAATCAAAGATACTCACAGGCGCAGCGATTAGTTCAGATATTGTAAGCGATCTCACATCGTGAATCGTAGATACAGGTAATTTTTCATCATCTTCATTTATTAGAGCTGTTTAGGTTCATTCCACATACATCTATTTTAGGATTTTAGTTGCTTTCAATTAATCGCGTTGACAATTTTTATAGACGATTTTTTTCCTTCATTGCAAATTTTACTGGAGATTTGTTTTGTTTAGATTAGCAATATATATATATTATGAATTCATTCGATTGACGCACACTTGATTGATTGGTGATTAGCGACACCGATCAAGGTTTTGAATTGTCGTTGTAATGGTTTTCTGATGAAAAATTGCTGGCAAGTGCAATCTATGCATTCACAATCGTGGTCTGAATTGCGATAGAGATTCGGTTAACCTTGACTTTGGCACCGCCTTAGGCTGTTTAAAACCTTAATTTTGATTATATTTTCATCGTTGGTAGAAGTTGTTAAATATTTTCTTGGAGTTGTATATAGTCTATAATCCTTCTAGTTTATCTGAAATAAACATTATTTTATTCTGTGATATTAACGTAGAAGTACAATGCCACAGCTTCGTGTCTGAGTTGAAGTAGTCATCACCATGACATTGAGAAAGGGAAGCAAAGTGGAGATACCTGGTTCTACTGATGGACCTAGTGTGGAATGGCGATGTGCGCGAATAATTTCTGGTAATGGGCACACGTACAGGGTTCAGTATAACCGTTCTAGTACAACAAGTGAGTCTAGCATAGTAAGAGTTTCAAGGAATGCCATCAGACCATCCCCCCCTCCAGTTAAAGGTATTGGGAATTGGGCAGCAAATGATCACGTGGAGGTTTACAATTTTGGTTCTTGGAGAGCAGCCACTGTTTTGAAATTCATTGATGGAGATTTCTTCTTGGTAAGGCTATGGGTATCTTGCAAAGAGTTAACGGTACTCAAGGTAAACATGAGGGCACGCCAGACTTTTCAAAATGGTCAATGGGTTCTTATGTCAAAGGTAAATTTCTATTTGCTCAACATAATTGCTTATGATTTAATTTTTTTTTAATGTTAGTTAATACTCCAAAGTTTGGACAACTTTCTTTATGGTTGAATTTCTGGTTTATTCATAGAGGCTCCTTGACTACACTTAAATTGAATTCAATGTCCTGATATTTTGTTCGTGCTTGTTCCAGGGATCTGGTAAGTCACCAGTTGGGAAGTCTAACTTGATTTCTAACAGTTCCAAGGATCAGCCTGAAAATAAGTGCCGAAATATTTTTTCTCAAGGATTAGATGCCAGTGATCACCAGGAACGCGTGGTCTCATCTTTAACGTTGAAAAGAATGTCCCCTTTTGTCTCCTCTTATCCCAGAAAATTAAGGACTATGTCGAATATGGGTGAGTGTGAAAGATTCAAAGCTGTAACTACAGCCCCCTTGCTGCAAAAGGTACATGCTGTTGTTTACCCACAAAATAATATGGGTGAAAAATGCATGCATACTTCCTTTACTAATGGTACCAACAAATATTATGAAACAGGAAAGGAGAATTCTTGTAATGTTTCAACACACTTTCTTGAACGAATTGAAGAACCTGATTATTCTTGTAGTGATCTGAGTTCTGTTGGCAGTTGTAGTGTGATTAGTAGTAACTCAAATAAAATTTCCAGTGATACCTTAGCAGGTCCTTGCCAAGATGAAGATACCCTTTGCAGTGATGCAGAATCTCTAGATGTTGGAGATGTGGATAAAGGATGCTCCACTTCTGCCAGTGAGGTTGCAGCAGAAACAATTCATAGGTTTGAGTTGAATGCATACCACAGTACCCTAGAAGTTTTGTATGCCTCTGGTCCTTTAAGTTGGGAAAAAGAAGAAATATTGACTAACCTTCGTATTTTACTCAATATTTCAAATGATGAACATTTGATGGAGATAAAGAACTTAGGTTCATGTGGTCAGAATTTTTAAATGTTTACATTTTAATCCCTCATTTGTACAGCCTTATTAGGTTCTGAAGAAGAGTACATATTTTTGAATAAATATTTTTTCTTCAAATTTCTATATTGGGAAATTATGTTGCTATACTCTTTATGTATTTGCTAGTCTCTTAATCTCTCTCTTTGACATTTGATTTTGTAATTTTTCCTTTTCAATTGGTACGAGTTCGTAGCTTCTACACGTGCTATGATTTGCTGATATGAGATATTCATCTGATTGTCTCTGACTACTTGTATATCATGTAATTTCCAAGTAATGATTAACGACTTCATGAATTTGCATGTACAGCTTGATTATAGTTCTGAATTTAATCTGAAGTATTGCTTAATTTGAATAAAATATATTAGCGATCTATTTTATGGCATCATCTTTTCTGCCATTTGACTATTATTGATGAATCAACTACAATTTTCCAGGGCCAGTGTAGGAGGCTTGCATGCCTTGCTTCCAATGGCTAAATATGATACTAGGTTTGCTTCTCCTCTCTCTGCAAATTAATTGGTCTCATCTACCAATAATTTTCTTACTGAGATTTGAAAATTCTGACCACTGTATATCACTCATGTGATTCAAGAACATGATCTCGCTTTTAAATTGCAGATGTAATCCTCATATGGCAGGTCTTATTGTGCAATTATTCAGATAATAATAATTTAATTCATTTATTTGCATACGGTGTGAACTATCTTCACTGTTACTTGAATACTTTATCCTGTAAGAGGAAAAAGAAATGATGCTAGGATGTTCAGAATCTGTTATATATCATATCAGGTATCTAATTGCCCTGGATTTCTGTCCCGTGGCCTCTCCATTATGCATAAGCAGATGTGTGGTGTGTTCACATGGAAGCAAATTGCAGCTGCAATAGTGCTTTGCAGTCACTACTTCAAACGGGTAAAAATCTCACATCTCGGTATTTGCATTATTGACCTAATTATTTTAGGGTCGTTTGCTCAAATATCATGTACTTTCTAATTCTGTCTGCAAAAATATTCTCTCCATTCCCTAATTTCATCTCACCACTGTCTGACAGCTGTATCTCCTTATTCTTCCGCGTGTATTGTACAATTTGCATTTCCCAATCCTTATTTTTACTAGTCTATATTGCCCACCTTTGTCCTCTAAGAAAGGACACCTTGGTTCGCTTGTGTTTTTCCTTTTGCTTCTTCATTTTGTGCAGCACTTTTTTGAGTAGTTAAATTATGCCTTAAATATGCGGCAAATGTGTATCTTGTAGACTGTGACTAATTCTGTAGGCTTTGATCCTAAAGGACTAATATTAAATTACTTGTTTGAATGTACATAATTGTTTTGGTCAGCCCATTATATACCGTCTTATTGTACCTTTTTTAAACTGCTCACTTAGTGCGCATATTTTTCTAAACTTTCTTAGATTTGGATCTTATAATTTCCTCGAGCTTATAAAAAATCTAATTGATGAAAATGGCATATAATGGCAACAGGTTAGCAATGTTTTTAACAGGTCTTGGGAAAAATACTCCATGCAGTAGTTTTTTTAATGGAAATTTGACTGTATCCTAAGAATTTGTAAAGTAACATAGGAATACGCATGCACCCGTCATACTCAAATCAATTAGCTCATTTCCTCTTTTCTTTCTATAGTGGTTTCTGAGCATGTATCCATTGATTGCTTTGACATGGAGCAGCATTTTCTATGTATATTCTCATTGAGGTTAAATTTGTTTTTTTTTTTGCCTCATTGTTTTTGTCTCCAATAAATTATATTGTTTGTTGGGTTTACGTGCTAATCGCTAATGAGATCCGTTGGTGACATTCTGTTAACTTTTGCAACGTGATCATTCTGATTCTCAACTGTCTATTTTGAACCGTTATATATAGGAATAGAAAAAAAAAATATCGGCTATTCATAGACATAATTCCCTGTATTTTAATCCTTTGCACTTTTTTCTAAAATTCATTTAGGTCATTCTAGTTGTGTAGTTTTTACGTGGACAATTTGAATCCCATTTGATGAGCTGATCAATGTTTTGGCTTTTGCAAATCAAGAAGGCTTGTGGAACCGAAGCACCTGGGAAGATGTTGTATTAAGCAAATCTTATGCATATTTTGGATTGCCTCTTTATCTGCGTGTATGTCTGACTTCGATTTCGGTATATGAATTTGTCTGATCATCTTAAATCAGTATTTATTTGATGCCATTATGTGCTGTTAAGTTAATCTGTTAAAATTTTGTATGATTGCAGCCCGTGCTGTGTAAATCAATATAGGTTTCATTCCATCAGTGTTTAGAGTTATTACTGTTCTCTTAATGTGCTTTAAGATCGAAAATCAGTGCTATAAATGTTTACAGTTATTATTCATATCTATTGTCCTAAGCTAAATTCATTCAGTTACCCATTAACAAATTTAGCGCAAGATACGATCGCCTCTTTCATGCTTTTTCATATTGTTCTTTATTAACCAACCAGTTTATCTATCCTGGATTTGTGGACTATAATGCAATTGTGTCGCTCAATTAAGCATGTAAATTACTAAATCACTCCTAAACTTTCATTTAACGACAATTATTTAGTACGAGATGATGATGTTGAGCAAGGAATTGCTTATGCAGTTTGTGATATAGTAGCAGAAAGTTAAGTTTGTTTTCTTAATTTTGATGTCTCCACTATTCTTGTGACATGGCAAATCATAGATCTTCCAGACATGACAATAGCGAATAAAACGATAAGTGAGTATTTTTGATAATTTTCAAAAAGGTATTTTGTTACATGCGTAGTTGATTCCTATGTCGGTATTTGTGGTAGAAGTAAGATATGGGTAATGTCGCATGTAGATGATGGGACGTGAAATCTTAAATTTTTAGCAATACAAAGTTTTAAGATCATGGTAACAAAATTTTTATTACTATTTACACTACTTTTTTTATTATTTTAAAAATATAAAAGATCACTTTAATTCGAACAATTTTATCTTTTAAGTAGTTTCAAATAATCTTTTTCTAAACTTGAAAAAGTAATTGCTGGAGTAGGTTGTTTCTTTGAAAGATTGGATGATATTTTTGCATAAATTAGCATAATACATGGAATATTAGCACTTGAGTGCCAAATAATTTTGTATTAATAATGTTATTTATTATTATAGTTTTGGAAGGTAAAATCATGTCATTTAATTTTGAAAGGATTAAAATAATATATATTATCAATTTTTCGCAATGAAATTAATTTTTTTTTTACAATTTTAAGAACTAAATTATAATATTTATTAATTTTAAAAACTAAATTAATGTTGCTTAGATAAATTACATGGTACCTCTTATACTGAATTATATTATATCTTTCGACCCCTTAAATTTACATCACTTTTATACTGCGCAATTTAGAGAAAGGTATAAGTTAAATAAAAAAATATTTAATTTGACTCAAATACTACATTTTTCTATTTCCATTGTAGAGAGTATCTTTTGACCCTAAAATGAAATTATAATAACTAAATTAAATTATTAACCTCTCCTAATGTTTGGCTTTTTAATATATAGGACTGAATTATATGTTTACGACATAAATATTTTCTTTCTCAACTTTTTCATTAAGACTCAACATCATGCGAGTCACTCATCAAGATGAATTTTTAATTTTGATACATTTTTTATAGTCATCGGAAGACTTAGTAAATGCCAATAAAGCATAAATCAAATTCATATAAAGTATTCACATTATTTTTCACCTAGCACTTTAAGAAGAAGAGCTTAACACAATCTTGGCTGTATATTACTTAACTTTCTTATTTCTATATTTCTATCAAATTGAATTTAAACACAAAATTGAATATTCCAAGCCAACACTGATATTTGAAGCCAAAAGTTAGTCAATAAGATTACATAAACAAATTTCTTTTCGAATCAAACAACTCCAGTTTAAGGAAGAGATGGCTCAACATTGTCATGATAAAATTCAATCGTCTAAATTACATAAAGATTGCAAATTGAAAAATAAAAATTTAGCGAGTTAACCATGGAGGGAGCATACTTCCATATCAGAATCCAAGCTCATCTGTGCCATCTTCTTCATCAACAAATCCGCCTTGTCACGAACTCTCACCGAACCCCTCACACAAAGATCAGCCAAGACGGTTGAAAATTCTGGCAACATCAAAGCCTCAGTGACACAATCTTCACTGTCATCAAAAAGACGAATAAGGATATCAGCAGCACCCTCCTTGCTCAACAGAGACCTACCCTTCAACACATTCAACATTACTCTAATTATCTCATCCGTTTTCTTCAAACCATTCAACCCTTCATCAAACCTCGCAAGGAGACTGAGAACAGCGAGAGAAGTTCCTGCCAAGTCCTCGTTATCAGTACCCTTCACCACCTTAAGCAGCACTGCCACTGCCCCGGCTCGCACTGCCAGAGTGCAGTTTCCATGAAAATGAACAAGCTCAGCAAGAGAACTCAGAAGGTGGTTCGCATCAGAACCGTGACACCCTTCAACTGCTTTCACTAGCAACTGAACTGTGCCTGCCACCCCAAACTTGGCCTTGTTTTTGTCATGCATGGCCAAGCTGCAAACCAATGAGGAGGCCAGTTTGGAAGAGTCGAGGGAAAATGATGAGTTGGTGATGAGGGAGTTGAGGTAGTAAATGGTTTCCATGTCAGCAAGAGATTGCTTCAGATCTGGGTTGAGGGATAGGTTGAAGAGGGTTAACAAAGAAAGTGTTTGGATGATGGGAGAGGAAGAGTTTGTTAGTGTGGCTATTGTTGGAATGGCTCCTTCTGTTTGAGCCAGTGAGGTTCTGTTTTGGGAACTGACCTTCGTGATGGAAGCCAGCATTTGAAGAGCTTTCTCTTGAACTTCAACCGAGTCTGATTGAAGCAGAAACACACATTCATTGATGGCATCAAAAACACGAGACGAGGATGATGATATCACCGAAGACATCTTTTCTTGGCTTTTGAGCTAGGGTGCCCGTGTTGAATACCACCTTTCAACCACCCAAGTTTTTCAGACTTTGGAATTGAAGTATTTAAGAAACTTAAACTTGAAACGTATACATCTTTGGTTCTGTAAATTATGTGAATATATAGATAGTTTCAATGTCTCATTAGCATTGGAAATGGCTTCATTTCTTTTAGATTTTTGTCCTACTCTTGGATGTTCCAACACATTTAATCTATATCTCTGTCATTTCTCATTGGTGGGGAACGGGATATATGACTATAAAATTAATTCATTACTTTGATATACGTTGTGGGCAACTAGACAAATTGTATAAGGAATTTAGTATGTGAGGCTACCGCCTTACGTGGTTAAACTAGTCGAGATACTTGAACAGGGCTTTCTGGGTGTATAAGGAATTAATTCATTTTATTTGTAAATAACTTCTAATTCAAGGAACATATGAAGGTTAGTGAATGTCTACCACACATTTTATTACTCGAGTTTAGTATCCTTTGTAATCACAATGACAGATAGTCTACAACTTTTACATTTGCGGACATTTTCACAAAACATAAAAGTTTAGCTCTTACAGCTCTTCACTTGTTGATGTGATAAAAAACATTTTCACAATGACAGATAGTCTCTTTTCCTGTTTTTATTCCCATGTTAGTATGTGATAAAAATAAGATGTTATAATCAGACGTGTCAGGTCATGAGGTGATTATAGATGTTATAATATCGATTGCTTCTTTAAATTTATAAATATTAATATTAAATACATGTTATAATCGATTTCTATTTTATTTATAAATATAAATATTAATATACATATTATAATCGATTTCTTTTTTTATGTATAAATATAATATCATAAATTGTAAATCTCTCATAATTGACTTAATCAAATTTATTTTCATCATCACATATACTATGGATACTGCCTACATTATTAGATTGTATAAATAATTATTGAAAATTACAAGGCATTGAAGACTATCAAATATGACATTTCGAATTTCCAACAAAAATCAGCCAAAATAAATAGTTATAAATATTTACCAGATTTGCTTGAAAGATAAAGGCTTAATATCCTATTTTGTCCCCAGTTTCGTCCGAAAATGTCAAATTAGTCCATCCTTTAAAAAATGCGTCAATTACGTCCTAACTTAATAAAATTTGCATCAATGATATCCCTTCCGTTAAATCCGTACAAACAGCGTTAATTATCTAAGTAGAAAAAAGAGAAAAATAATTAACGCCGTTTGTACGGATTTAACGGAAGGGATTTCATTGATGCAAATTTTATTAAGTTAAGACGTAATTGACACATTTTTTAAAGGATGAACTAATTTGACATTTTCGAACGAAACTAGGGACAAAATAGGGTATTAAGCCAAAGATAAAATATAAAGTGATTACTGTATAAACCTTAAGGCGTACCATAAATGCAAAATGTATCTTGTCGGGCGTCAAACACACTGAACAACCGGAATGCCGAACGTGATAACCAAACAAACAATCGAAAACACCTCATAATGATTGAATTTGAAACCTCAAATCAACGACCAAAAATGTCAATAATACACAACCCCAAAAACATATATTGTAGCATACACAAATACCGGTCACTACTAAGGAAATGGTCCACAGACGCACAATTACTCTACTCAAATGTATCATCGTCGTCGTCTGGAAGGGGCTGACTAGCAGCTGCAGCAAGCTCAGCCTCATGTCTGCAAAAGCCACCAATTCATACATTATAAAAAATCTAAAACGAACAATTATGGATGACCAAAGACAATAATATTTTCAGTCTGATCGGTTGGAAACAACTTGTGAACATTTCTTATAGAAACTAAAAGTACAACATAAATCATGACGACAAAACATTAGGCCATCCTTAAATTCAAAATGTAATCATGCAGTTCTGTAAACCTACTTCATCATCCTAGAGAAGCCGTGACTAAAAAACTAAAGGTTGCAGGTAAATAATCAGAATTTTCTTAGGGACAGGTAACTTACTGTTGTTGGGCTGCTAAATCAATTTGAACTTCTGGTGGAGCCAACGCAGGAGATTCTACAAAGTGCAAGTTAGGATCTCTGCAAAATTGACACAAGTAGTATAATTTTAGTAGAAAAGTATTAACATTGTAATTGTCTTATAATATGCACAGCAAATAAATTTAGCAGTTTTGGAGATACCCTGCAAGTTTCCTAGCCAAGTACAAGAATGGCTTTTCAAAATTATAGTTGCTCTTTGCAGATATCTCATAGTACTGCAAGTTCTTCTTTCTGTGAAAAGTAACCTGCTTGGCCTTCACTTGCCTATTCTTTACATCAACCTTGTTACCACAAAGAACAATTGGGATGTTCTCACAAACCCTGAAAAAACAGTTTGGCAGAAAATGTCCAGATCTGAT